CGATCTCAGCTCACTACAACCTCTGCCTTTTGGGTTCAAGCTATTTCCCTGCCTCAGCCTCCTGAGTAGCTAGACTACAGGCGTGTACCACCTCGCCTGGCTAATTGTTGTATTATTAGTAGAAATAGGGATTCACCATATTGGCCATGCTGGTTTTGAACTTCTGACCTCGTGATCCGCCCACCTTGGCCTCCAAAAGTGCTGGGATTACAGGCATGAGCCACAGCGCCTGGCTGGCATTTTGATTCCTAAGCCCATGTTCTTAACCACTATTCTGTTATGTGGCAGAGGGCTTGTAATAACAAGCCATTGTAGATAACTGTGGTGGCCAGAGGGATACCACATTATGAAGGACCTTAACTTCATTCAGCAAGTATCATATACCTTTGCCAAGGCTATGATGTGAATGGGGTGGAGTGGGCGGGCAGCAGGGGAGGACACAGGGTTTAGTTCTTCCTACAGTTAGTTCTGCTATCCTATAGATCGTTCTCTTCCATAATGTGGAAACCTGATCTATAGGATGCTTACTCCCTACACGAGGGTAAGACCCATGCGAAAAGTGAAGGCACAGGGCAAGCTGGGAATACAAGAGTTCTCACGAAGCACTCTCTGCCAGGATAAAAAAGGCTGAAATGAATCTTATAGCTTACAAGAGGAAAGTATCTTGAAACTATCATTTTTAGAGATTCATTGGTTTGGTGGAGCTGAAGGATGAGGGATGATTAGAGGTCCTTTTTCATCATTATGGGTAGGAAGTGGTGAAAGTTTGACTAGGGCAGAAGGAGGGACACAAGGAACATTCCTAAAGAAAAATTGACAGAGTTTGGAGGAGGAGAGGAATAACTGAAGATGGGGCTTTGGAGAAGGGAAACTGATTGGGGAAAGTAAAGGGGCAACGTTTCTGGCTTTTTTTTTTTTTTTCTGAGACAGAGTCTCACTCTGTTGCCCAGGCTGGAGTGCAATAGTGTGATCTCGGCTCACTGCAACCTCCGCTTCCCGGGTTCAAGCGATTCTCCTGCCTCAGCCTCCTGAGTAGCTGGGATTATAGGCATGCATCACCACACCTGCCTAATTTTTGTATTTTTCCTTTTTTTTTTCTTTTTTGTTTTTTTGTTTTTGAGACAGGGTCTCACTCTGTTGTCCAGGCTGGAGTGCAATGGCGCTCTCTCAGCTCACTGCAACCTCTGCCTCCCAGATTAAAGTGATTCTCCTGCCTCAGCCTCCCGAGTAGCTGGGATTACAGGTGCACGGCACCATGCCCGGCTAATTTTTGTATTTTTAGTGGAGATGGGGTTTCACCATGTTGGTCAGGTTGGTGTCGAACTCCCCACCTCAGGTGATCTGCTTGCCTCCCAAAGTGCTGGGATTACAGGCATGAACCACCGCACCCAGCCATTTCTGGCTTTTTCTGCAGGACTAGAAATGTCATCTCCACATTTGTTCCCTTCAAAACCGCCTATTGTGTGTGTATGCATGAACTTTAAATATTTGAGTGTCTGTTTTATTATCTTAGTAATACTCATGTTTTCAAATTATGTAACTTAATTTATTTCCTGGACTAATCTTTTACAATTTCGTTTCAGTTGTTTGAGCTTCTCAATTTCTTGGCAGAGAATTTCATCTTCTCCTACATGGGGCTGACACTGTTCACCTTCCAGAACCATGTCTTTAACCCAACATTTGTAGTGGGAGCATTTGTATCCTTTATTACGTGTTTTATTTTGAAAAGTATTTTTAATTGAGATTTTTCATGTGGGTTTTGGGTATGTGGTTGATAAGAATACATTTAAATATATGCGATTTTCCTCTGAGTAAAACAAAGATTCCAGCTCTTTTTTATAGTTATTTATTTTATTATATTCTTTTTCAATTTGTATTTTTTACACCAATAGTGTTGACAGATTAAAATGACAGACAAGTTTCCTACTGTTTTGCCAATCCCAAAAGATAAGTGTTTTCCCTTTATTACTACCGGGAAGGAGAGATTGGTTACTGGGGAACAGCTAGCAGTTTCTGCCACAGGGCAATAGGTGGAAGATGAGGAAACGTTAAATGAGGCCACTTTCTCTCCCCCCTTCAACCCCTCTCTCTCCCTCTCTCTTTCTCTCGCATATATACAAAGAGTCTTAAAAAACCCCAGCCTGGGCAACATAGTGAGACCCCATCTTTACAAACAAAATTTTAAAAATTAGCCAGGTGTGGTGGCGCATGCCTGTCGTCCCAGCTACTTGGGATGCTAAGGTAGAAGGATTACTTGAGCCCAGGAGTTCGAGACTATAGTGAGCCATGATTGTGTCACTGCACTCCACCCTGGGTGACAAAGTGAGACCCTGTCTCAAACAAAACAAAACAAAACAAAAAACAGTTGCAGTTGAAGGAAGAAACTGAGTATTTGAAAGAGAAGGGACAATAGTGAAAGCCTCTTGAGAGGGCAGGAATGAAATCCAAAGCATGTAGAGAGAAATTTTGCCTTCCCTGGGAGGAGAGACGGCTCCACCATTGCGACAGTAGAGGATAGGGTATGCACAGATGCAGGCACATTTGTAAGATGGAGCTCCTGTCTGATGGCTTCTATGTTTATCTGTTAAGTAGGAGGTGAGATTATCTGCTGAGAGTAAGATAGGGAGTTGGGGAGTGTATCAGTTATCTATTGTGTAACAGTACCTTAAATTTAGCAGCTTAAAACAACAGACATTTATTATCTCACACAGTTTCTGAGGGTCAGGAATCCTGGAGCAGCTTAGCTGGGTGGTTCTGGCTCCAGGATCTCTCAAGAGGTTGCAGTTGTGCTCTTGGCTGGGACTGTACTTTCTCAAGACTTGACTAGGGCCAGGGAATCCACTCCAAGCTTGCTCAACTCACATCGTGTCAGCAAGAGGCTTCTATTCTTCTCCACATGGACATCTCCATAGGGCAGCTTACACCATGGCTTCCCCTAAACTGAGTGAGCTGAGAGAGCCCTAAAATGAAAGCTGAGGTGCCTTTTATAACCTAATCTTTGAAGAGACGTGCTAGCATCACTTCTATAATATTCTGTTAGTTATACAGACCAACCTGGTACAGTGTGGGTGGAGATTATACAAAGGTGTGAATACTAAGAGGCATAGATGGTTAGGTACTACCTTGGAGGCTGGCTTATACAGAGCATAGGGATTTTTGAGGAAGGTGGAAGTTTGTGAAATAGTTGTTGTAGAGACTGGGAGAATAAGTTGACCAAAGAAACGCAGCAGGACTGCTAAGAAGTACTAGGGATTCATGGTGTTTGAGGAATAGGCACTAGCAGTAGAACCAATCTGCCCCATTGAATGACTTTGTCCAACAGTACTTACTGTAAGCATGGAAAAAAGAGATAGTTGGCTCCTTCCAGATTTGGAGTTTTTTCAAGTGGATGCAATGAAAACAGAAGGACGAGAGATCATAGTGTTATTACATGACTGATGCAATCTAAACACTTCATTTAATGTTTAAATAACATTAAAGGGTGTTATTAACATGATAGTAACAAGGGAAGTAAGGAAAGAAGACATCGTTTAAGGAAAGAGTATAGGGATCTTTGGACTGAAAGTCTCAGTGCTGTGGAAGAATGATCAGAGTGGGACAGTTGAACACAAAATATGGAAGGAGCAATTGTGACCAGACGGAATGTTTGAATAAAGAGTTTTCAAAAGACATATTCTAAAACCCCACCTCAGAATGAAGAATCTGCCAAAGAGATTAGAAGTTTTTTTTTTTTTTAATTAAAACTCTAGGATCTCTGTTAAAAGTGAAGTTTTACTGAAATACCATTCCGCAGAGCCTTAGTCTGCAAATGAACTTTAGGCAAAATAAATAAATAAATAAATAAATAAATAAATAAACTACTGTCAATAGGAGATCTTAGCTGAAAGACAACCATGAGATCAGTAACTTAATGTCCTGCTAGTCTTGGAGAAAATTTTGAGCAGTCAAGTGGCTTGATCCACTATACTTAATCTGGAAACAAAGCTAAATATTCTCTATAGGTTTCTGAGTCTGTTAGGAATTAAAATTCCTCAATACAAAATCCTACCATGAAAATGGCCTCTAAACAGGAGAGAGTAGCTCTATTTCTGGCTATATTAGTTAGGATGTAGGTTTGGTTTCATGTGAAAAGACTCAAACTAATCCAGGTTTAAACAACATAGACATTTCTTTCTTATCTAAAAGTCTGAACTGATGTGGCAGTTCTGCCGCATAGGATCACCAGGGACTGAAGCAGCATTGTTGCTAACATCCTTAGGGACTTGACCTTGTTCTTGCAATCCAAGGTGGCTCACCCCTGTCTGTCAGTTGCCTTCAAGGGCTTGACCCAGAATGTGCACACGTCCCTTCCACTTAACATCATTGGTTACACCTACTCACAAGGGAGGCTAGGAATTCTTTCTCTCGGTGGCTGTGTAAAGATGAAAGGGAGGAGTGCCAACTACCAAGGAAGAAAGCAAGAACAGATGTTGGGGAGAACTAGCAGTCACTGCCACATGGGCCCACATGGTTAGTGGTTATGTTTTCTTTTCTTTTTAGAAAATCACTTAAATTTTTTTTTTTTAATTTTAGAATGGTTTTAGGTTTACAGAAAAATTGTGAAGATAGACTGGATGTGGTGGCTCACACCTGTAATCCCAATATTTTGGGAGGCCAAGGTGGGAGGATCACAAGGTCTGGAGTTTGAGATCAGCCTGGCCAACATGGTGAAACCATGACTCTACTAAAAATACAAAAAATTAGCCAGGTGTGGTGGCAGGCACCTGTAATCTCAGCTACTTGGGAGGCTGAGGCAGGAGAATCACCTGAACCCAGGAGGCAGAGGTTGCAGTGAGCCTAGATCGTGCCATCATACTCCAGCCTGGGCAATAGAGCTATATTCCATCTAAAAAAAATTAAGAAGATTAATACAGAAAGCTCTTATATGCTCTACACTCAGTTTCCCTTATTGTTAACATATTAGCATAGTACATTTGTCACAATGAATGAACTAATATTGATACGTTATTATTAACTAAAGTTCAAACTTTATTCTGATTTCCATAGTTTTTCCCTAATGTCCTTTTCTATTCCAGGGTCCCATCCAGGATACCACATTACATTTAGTTGTCATGTCCCCTTAGGCTCTGCCTGACTGTGACAGTTTCTCAGTTGTGTTCTTTGTTTTTGGTGACCCTTGACAGTTTTGAGGGGTACTAGCTGTGTATTTTGTAGAATGTCCTGCAGTTGGAACTTGTCTGATATTTTCCCCATGATTAGACTGGAGTTATGTGTTGTTTGGGAAGAGGACCACAGAGGTAAATGCCATTCTCATCATGTCATATCAAGGGTACATACTTAATAATGTTGATGATAGTCTTAATCACTTGGTTGAGATAGTGTTTGTCAGATTTATCCATTATAAAGTTACCCATTTACCCCCCTCTACACCTGGAAGGAAGTTGCTATGAGCAAGGATTGAGGAATCGGGAGTTAGGTTCCACCTTCTTGAGGATGGAGTATCAGCAAAATTATTTGGATTTTTTCACACTGGACATTTATCTATTCTTCCTCATGTATTGTTTTATTCAATCATTTATTTTTAAAATTGTATTATTTTATTTTATTTTTGAGCCACAGCTTCGCTCATGTTGCCCAAGCTGTAGTGCAATAGTGTAGTCTCGGCTCACAGCAACCTCTGCCTCCCAGGCTCAAGCAATTCTCCTGTCTCAGCTTCCCGAATAGCTGAGATTACAGGCATGAGCTGAGATTACAGGCAAGCACCACCACACCTGGCTAAATTGTATATTTTCAGTAGAGGCGGGATTTCACCATGTTGGCCAGGTTGGTCTCAAACTCCTGACCTCAAGTGATCCGCCCATCTCAGCCTTCCAAAATGCTGGGATTACAGGCATGAGCCACTGTGCCCGGCCAACTTATTCTGTTAATAGTCTTAAAAGTATAGTAAAGAAACTCCTCTTTTAAACATGTTTCTCTTCAGCTAGTAAATTTCCTGCATCGTATACCTGCTCTGTCCAATTTGGTAGCAACTAGCCAAATGTGATTATTTTAATTTGAAGTAATTAAAATGAAATAAAATTAAATTTTCAGTTCCTCCGTCACACTAGCCACATTTCAGGTGCTCACTGAATTGGACACTGCAGATACAGAAAATTTCCATTGTTGCAGAAAGTTCTATTTGGACAATGCTATGTTAGGCAGTGGAACCAATGGACTGTGTGTTAGAAATTGAGTTCCCTAAAATAAAAAATTCACCATCTGGAATGCATAGTCTAAATAATATTAATAGTAAAATGAAATTATCCTTAACCTATTAATAATTTTAGGTTGCTATTTTCTTGGGAAGAGCTGCCAATATTTACCCCTTGTCCCTCTTACTTAATTTGGGTAGAAGAAGTAAGATTGGATCAAATTTTCAACATATGATGATGTTTGCTGGTAAGTTATGATTTTCTTCTCTTGCCCATCCCAAGCAACCATTCACAATGCATATGCCAGCTTGATGTATAACACTGAGATTTTATGCTGGTAATATAATACTCTGTTATTTTTATATTATTTATTTATATATTTTGAGACATGGTTTCACTCTGTTACCCAGACTGTAGTGCAGTGGCACAATCTTGAGTCACTGCAACCTCCGCCTCCCAGGTTCAAGTAATTCTCATGCCTCAGCCTCCCAAGTAGCTGGGATTACAGGCACACACCACCAAGCCCGGTAATTTTTTTATTTTTAGTAGAGATGGGGCTTCACCATATTGGCCAGGCTGGTCACAAACTCCTGACCTCAGGTGATCCACCCGCCTCAGCCTTCTAAAGTGCTAGGATTATAGGCATGAGTCATCATGCGTGGCGTGTAATACTCCTTTAAACATTGAAGTTGCCTCCTTGAATAGAAAAAAAAATTATAGTGTCCCATTGCCTTCTATGGGAATTTCTTCATATTCTGGTTCCAAATCCTTGGTTCAGAATTATGTCACAGAAAGTGAGAAAGATAAAGATGAAGTGATTTTCAAACAAAAACCTATAGGTAAATGTTTATAGCAGTCCTATTCATAATTGCCAAAACCTGGAAATAACCCACTTGTGTGTCTCTCAATGGGTGAATATCTAATCAAACTGTGATACATCCATGCTATGGAATACTACTCGGCACTAAAAGGAACAAACAATTTACCCATACAGCATGGATAAATCTCAGAGGCTTTGTGCTAAGTGCAAGAAGGCAGTCTTGAAAGGCTACCTGCTGTGTGATTCCGTTCAAATGACATTCATAAAAGACAAAATCATAGTGATGTGGAATACATCAGTGGCTGCCAGGGGTTTGATGGAGTGATGAGAGGTTAGACTGAAAAAGGGTAATGCAAAGAAATTTGATAGGGGGAGGGATGATGAAACCATTCTGTGTCTCGACTGTAGTACTAGTTACACTCACCTCTATGAATTTGCCAACACTCATGTAGCTGTAGACCAAAAAGAGTGAATTTTACTGTTTGTAAATGAAAAATGAATTTTAAAAATTATTTAAAAAAACATCAATGCATGTCAGTATCATATACAAATTCTATTTCTATTTGTACATTTTTTTTTTCAAGACAGAGCCTCACTCTGTCACCCAGACTGGAGTGCAGTGGTGTGATCTCGGCTCACTGCAACCTCTGCCTCCCTGGTTCAAGCAATTCTCCTGCCTCAGCCTCCTGAGTAGCTGGGATTACAGACATGTGCCACCACACCTGGCTGATTTTTGTATTTTTAGTAGAGATGGGGCTTCACTATTTGGCCAGGCTGGTCTTGAACTCCTGACCTCTGGTGATCCACCCGCCTTGGTCTCCCAAAATACTGAGATTACAGTTGTGAGCCACTGCACCCGGCCTGTACATATTTAAGTATGTTACTATTTACTGCATATTTGTTCACATGCTTCTAAGTTTTCAGAATGTGCTTTCTTGCTCTGAATTTATGAAGCCTGGATTCGCAATGAGTTGTTGAAGAAATACCTTTTCTGTTCCCCTGTAGGCCTTCGCGGTGCAATGGCATTTGCCTTGGCCATTCGGGATACTGCCACTTACGCACGGCAAATGATGTTCAGCACCACGCTTCTGATTGTGTTTTTTACTGTGTGGGTATTTGGCGGCGGCACCACTGCAATGCTCTCATGCTTGCATATCAGGTAAGTACCAACTAGAGACCTCATTTTAAGATTAAACTTTAATTTGGTTTATTTTCTCTTCCCATTTTCAATTTTTAAGCTTTGGTGAATCTGTAATGTTTATATTTTCCTTTTTAAAAATGTGTAATACGTAGTACACAAAAAGGAAAATATGTATGCAAGAGAAAAAGAAAATTCATTGTTAACACTTTGAGGGATATCTTTCCAGACCGTTTGCTATACGTGATACATATTTTTGACAAAAAGGGGCAACACTGAAGGTACTCTTGTAGCCTGATTTTTAAATGTAATATAGCATGGACATTTTCATTGTGAATATATTTACATCATTGTTTTAATGGCTGCGTATGTCCTGATTCATTTAATCAAATCCCTGTTGCTGGACTTCTGTATTGTTTCTAGGATTTTCCTATTACCATTACCATTTGAGGATTTTGCTATTACTATTACCATTAACAATGTGAACATTCTTAAATGTATACACCACTGTGTACTTGTTTGATTATTTCCTTAGAATGCATGTCTAGAAATGAAATTGCTTGCTCAAAATATATGTATATATTTAAGGCTTTTGATCGATACCACTAGGTCAGATCAAAAATTTGTCTTCCACATGCAATGTATGAAACAGTGCAGCTTACCCCAACCCTAATCACTACTAGATATTATCATTTTTCTCATCAGCACTGTTGTTGTTTTTTTTTTCCAGCACTGTTTTTAACCTAACAATCCAAAGCCGAGATCTTGAGGTCTTAGTCTTAAATGTGTACCAGTTAATGTATTCAATTTGAAAGCTCCCTTGTATCTTAAGAGTTCTGCATTTGTTTCCATGGATACAGCAGCCTATGCTGTAAAATCTTTGTAGATTTTAGTTCTGTGTTTGGATGAAACTTCATAGACATTAAGAGCTACCAAGCTTCCAGAATACATAGGGCTTATTAGAGAAAACAGTATTTGATACTTTAGAGATCCTGTCCTCCATTTTTTTTCATTCTATTATGCCTTTTTAAAAATATTCTAAAGACCAGCCAGCCCTAAATCACACTTTGAATGTTGTTTTTATTGTCTTAATTTCTCTTTGCTATTCAAATCCCTTATCATTTCTGTGCTTTTATTGTGCATAGTGTAAAATACACAAAATAATGTTCTTCTAACCTTAATTATTACCTCAGGGAGGACCTGGCATTTATTGAACACTTACTATGTGCTGGGCATCGTGCTAAGTACATTTTACATATTTATCCAAGCATGATAACTCCATTTTCCAAGTGATGAAATTGAGGCTTAGAAAGGTTCTGAGTCGTTCAAGGTCATCTGGATAATTAAATGGCAGACTGAGGAGCCTCCAGTCTTTCTTAATTTCTTTTAGAAATTAATTTCATCAAGAAATGGGCGTGGTACATTTTGAAAGGACATAATTCCTTTCTTTTCTCAAGAGCTTGTAGATGAAGACTTTCCCTCATTTTCCTAAGGAGAAAAAAATTAAATGTAAGAAAAAAACCAAACAAAATCCCTATGTTTACCATCCCCCTAAAAAGAAAAGGCAAAAACATACCTACTCACACAAAATCTAATCTGTATCACTAGCTGTCAAAGCTCTTTGTCTGGCAGCATAGTGCCTGTCCTGTAACATAGTTTATCACTTAACTATATATAATATTGTCTTATAGTCTTAGGTTACTTCTTGTTTTCTTGGTATTATTCTTGGCCTCTTCGTGAACAGGGGGTGTATTTTAAGTTTCTCCCTCCCCCCAAATTTGTCTAGTACAGTTTTAAGGGCACTGCTAAGTACTGAAAGTTTAAGATTTGTGCCCATGTAGACTTGGCTTTGAGTTCTTGCCCCTTCACTGATGAATTCTGTGATCTTAGGCAAGCTCTCTAACCTTTTAAAGCCTCAGTTTCCTCATCTGTAATATGTATGTCATAGTACCTACCTCCTTGGGTTGTTGTAAGGATTCAGTGAGCTAATAATAACTGTAAAGTTCTTAGCATAGCATTTCAGATATACCTTTTGTTCATTCATTCGATAAGCATTTACTGAACACCAGCCATGGTGCCAGGCACTGTTTTAGGTTTCAATTCAGTGGTTCTTTTTATTTATTTATTTATTTAGAGACAGAGTCTTGCTCTGTCGCCCAGGCCGGAGTGCAGTGGTGCAATATCAGCTCATTGCAATCCACGTCTCCCAGGTTCAAGCAATTCTCCTGCCTCAGCCTCCCAAGTAGCTGGGACTACAGGCATACACCATCATGCCTGGCTAATTTTTGTATTTTTAGTAGAGATGGGGTTTCACCATGTTGGCCAGGCTGTTCTCAAACTCCTGGTCTCAAGTGATTCGCCTGCCTCAACCTCCCAAAGTGTTGGGTTTACAGACTTGAGCCACCTCACCCAGCCTCAGTGCGTCTTAACTGGGGATCATTTTACCCCCTAGGGGACATTTGGCACTTTATGGAGACATTTTTGGTTGTCACAAATGGCAGAGGGGGCTGCTGCTGCCATCTAGTGAGTAGAGGCCAAGGATGCTGCTAAACATGCTCCAATTTATAGGACAGGCTCCTCCCCACCCTTGCCACCTGCCAACAGAGAACTATGTAGGCCAGAATGTCAGTAACGCTAAGGTTAAGAAATCCTGCTCTAGAGAAGCACGGTAGGTAGAAAAGGTTCCTGGACTCATAACATCTATACTTCAGTGAGAGAAGACATACAATAAGCTAGCAACACATAAATGAACCTGACAACTGTAGACGATATTGAATGCTGTGATGGCAATCAGGCAAGGTACTGTGATAGTGACTGCGGATGGGGATGTATTTTACAAAAGGAGGCCAGGGAAGTTTTCTCTGAGAGGTTACGTTTGAGCTCAGTCTTTCCTGAGTGACTAGACGTTGCCAGTTAAACAGTCATCGGGAAGGGGAGCAGTCTAGGCAGAGGGAAGAGTACAAAAGTCCTGAGGCGGGGGCAAACTTGGCCTGTTTAATGAACAGGAAGAATCTCTAGTGGCTAGAGTATAGTGACTGAAGGGTAGGTAGGAAATGAGGTTGGCAAGATCTTATGGAAGCAGGGGTCTGCAAACTTATACTGTAAAGGGCCAGAGAGTAAATATTCCAGGCTTTGGAGGCCATACGGTCTGTCTTAGCTACTCAACTCTAGTGTGAAAGCGGCCCTTGACAATATGTAAATCAGTTGGCGTGGTTGTATCCCAGTAAAACTTGATTTACAAAAATAGAAGAGGTACTGATGTGGCCCGTAGGCCGTAGTTTGTGGACCCGCAGTAGTCTGTGGAGCATGGTAAGGGATTTGGATTTTAAAATACAACTGGAAATCCTGGAAGATTTTGAAGCAAGGGAGTGACATGAAGTCATTTACAGTATAAAAGGCTCACTTTAGCTGTCATATGGACAGTGGACCTTCAGTAAATTAGAAACAGCCAGCTATTCCCATGTCCTTTCACACAGTTTGTGACAGTCACATTTGGTTCTATCATTTACTCTACATGCTTTGCACTTCTATGTCTCTGAGCCTTTGCTCATATGGTTCCCTCTGCCTGGAATATTCTTTCAGTAAATGACACAGCTAAGTGCTACCTCCTTTTCCCCCCGTTCTTTTCCCTCAGAACCACTCTTCTGTTGGTGCAACATTGGGCCTCTCCATTGTACCATTTGTTTTATTCAGTCTTGTAATAATATTGTTATAAGAGCTACCACTTAGTGTTAATGATGTTTCAGATGCTCTTTAATGTTAATGGTGTTTCAGGTGCTCTTTTAAAACCTTTTCATACATTTTCTCATTAAATCCTTGCAGCAACTCTGTATGGTGGATATTAGCTCCATTTTCCAGGTGATAAAATGATGATTTACAGGACGGCATCACTTGACTGAGTTCACACAGCTAGAAAACAGCCAAGGCCACATTTGAACCCAGAGCTCCCTGAGAGAAGCCCTTAGGGATTATGCCCTAGTTGTGTCTGTTTCCCCCACTAGTCTATGAGTTCCTTGAGGGCAGGGGCCGTGTTTAATTCATTTCTATGCCCTGTGCCTAGTACAGTGCCTGGCAAATAATAAGTGCTCTATAAATGTTTATTACATTGACTTAGCTTCTGATAATGTACGGAGCATTACAAGTGTGCTATCTTCATGACCTCTAGATGGCACTCAAGATGCATAAATGTGGTTAGAGTTTAATGTGACTGAGAAGATGTTAAACAGCCCCTGGCCATTTTAACAAAGGAAAAATGAGCCAGTCTTTGAATTAAGAATCTGGTCATGACAGTCTGTTTTCAAGTCCTTGACCATGATTCTTTTGCTTTCCAGATGCAGCTTTGCATCATTTTCTCCCTTCAGTGTTATACGTGTTCTGGGATGCTACTGCTACAGCTTCTCATACTGCTATTTTTTCTGTGTTGTCTGTAGTAGTTAATTTAATTGATAAACATTTGAGCACCTATTGTGTGTCAGGTACTGTGCTAGACTCTGGGGATACAGAGATGAATTGAGACATGGCCTTTACCCTCAAGGAGCTCACAGTCTTTTTGGGGAGACTGACAGGTAAATAACTATACTCTACTGTGCTAAGTATCGTAATAAAGGACTGTAGAAAGTACTGCATATGCACAGAGGAAAAAATGAATCTGCTTGAAGGGGTCATAGAATGGTTACTTTGGAACTTGGAAAAATGAGTAGAAGAAATGAGGGAAAGCACATTGCAGATGGAGAGAACAGCATGAGCAAAGGCATGGGAGGCTCTGGAGAGGACAGATTTGGGGAGAAGAGTAGGCAGGTATGGGGAAAATGAGGATGGAAAGGTGTAGGCCAGAGTGGGGTCGGGGCACTAGTTTGTAGAGAGTCTTGAGTACCCCACAAAGGACTTCAGACTTGACCCTCTGGGTGGTAAGCCACTCTCAGAGTCCTTTGTCAAGGGAGTAACACAGCGACTTCTATGCTGGCGACAGCTGGCTCTCAGGGAGAGGCTGGCAGCTGGAAAAACTTCCATAACAGACCCCATGAGCCGCAGGATGAGGGCTGTGCTTGAGCAGTTGGGATGGAAAGGAAAGGAAAGAGAAAACCTGAGAGACCATTTAGAGGAAGAATGAACAGAATTGGTGGGTGCTCATGTTTAGGGAATAGAGAGGAGCCAGAGAACTTTGTAATGAAGCTGTTCCCTGGGATACAGAAAGCAGGAATTTGAAGCAGATAAGGAAACAATTGTGAAGAAGCAAGGCTGATGTCTGTCCATTAGCCTATGAAAAACCTGTAATTGGACCCTCTCTTCAGTCATAGTAGCAGAATGTTGCCAGGAGAGCTGCGAGGTCCAAAAACATGCACCTCCCTCGCAGAATTGCACTGTGCCAGCCTTGTTTTTGGAGCTACCCCAGTAGTTCTTATTTAGCATCTGGGGCGGTGTTGCTCTCCCTGATTCCGCTTCAAGTGGACCTATATTCAGAGAAGAAAATCCTTTTTTTTTTTTTTTTTTTTTTCTGGTAAGTAGGATTGCAGGAAGAGAATCATTGGTACACCCTGCTTGCCTTAGAATCCAAGCTGTTGCTAAGGAAAGTGGCAGGAACCAGAAATCTGCATCAACAGCCACAGAGAAGCAAGAAAACATTAACCATTCCGTAGCTTCTGTGTTGAGGAAAGTAGTTGCCTGACAATGTGCATGTGTGAATAGACCTTTTTTTGGCTTCCAAATCTCATTTGCTCTTTGTGTTTCTCCTTTAGGGTTGGTGTTGATTCAGACCAAGAACACTTGGTAAATATGCGTTTGTGTTGTTCCTGGCATTTCTGTCAAATGTGCAGTGATTTGGAAAAAAACCAATCTACTGTAGACTTCATGCCACTATTTAGATCCTGTCCTCTTTGCCTTGGCTTTTAACTGACATCATTCCTGGCTTTTCTCACTGCTCCACAGAGACAAAGCCAAGTTAGCCACAGTGTGTGGTTATCAAGGGTGACAGCTTTCATGTCTCTGGGCCATCCTGCCTGGGATTTTGCCCCAGAGGAGAGCAGTCTCTTAAGCACTCCTGGGTTTTCAAGTGACTCCTCTGGCATGGGGAGGCTTTTTCCACTTCGGTTTGTGCATGAAGGCTTGTCTCTGATGTAAGCCTCACTCCAGCTGCTCTTCCTGTGTAACTTTCAAATTGGATGACCAGCAGCTGCCCTTGAGAACTGCCTAGAAGCTTTTGAACGTTCAAGCAGTCTTCCCTGCCTGTTGAGGGGAGCGCACTTTCTTACTTTGTCCCTCAGCCTTGGCCACGTTTCCTTGCTTCCTTCCTTCCGTTGTGTCAGTTTCTCAGTTGTTGCTATGAACTTGAGCCTGTTGGGCTGAATGCATTGTAACTGGCTGCCCTCTCTAGACTGACTACCCTTGTCTGGTATTTTCCATCTGCTTTTCAATGGTTTCTGAGCACCACTGAATACATGACTCCGTATCAGACGTTAGATAAGAAATCACAGAAATTAGGTTTTTGAACATGGAAAGCGTCTCTTTCAAAACACAATTCTTCTTATCTGAAATAAACCCCAGGATATTTGTCTTCAGGGTGAGGTTAAAAAAAACATTTCTCAGATTTACTTCCTAAATGCAAATTTTGTTAGCTGTTGAGTAATGAGTGGGAATGTATATATGAGATATAGTAAGTACTTGCCTTTTGTGGTCAGACCCTTAAAGTAGAATTCCATGGGCTTGACATACTTGTACAAACCAAGGTGGATAAATACCCATGATGCCAAACTCCTGGGATAGTATCCAAGGGGTAATAACTCCTCAATGCCTCCTCCCTGTGTCAAAATAAGAATAAAGTTAATCATGCAGCTCAAAAGACAAATGCTTGATCACTCTCTGTATAAGTCTCCACCAGCTGTGTCACCTCTGTAACCACAGAGGACAAATGGAAATGGAGTGACAGGGAGAGAGCCAGGTAGGTGAGTATCAGTCATCACATACAGAACAAAGGACCAATTTTTCTCCTTGCCTTCAAAACCCTATGGCTGGGCCAGGCGTGGTGGCTCACGCCTGTAATCCCAGCACGTAGGGAGGCCGAGGTGGGTGGATCACCTGAGATCAGGAGTTCGAGACCAGCCTGGCCAATATGGCAAAACCCTGTCTCTACCAAAAATACAAAAATTCCCTGGGCATGGTGGCAGGTGCCTGTAGTCCCAGCTGCTTGGGAAGCTGAGGCAGGAGAATCATTTGAACTTGGGAGGTGGAGCTTGCAGTGAGCCGAGATCACACCACTGCACTCCAGTCTGGGCAACAGAGCAAGACTCCATCTCAAAAAACAAAACCAAAAAAGACAAAAACTCTGTGGCTGTCTTGGTTATATTGTTTCTTTAATGTTTTGAATGTCCACTAAAAAGCACAGAGGAACATTATAGTAAGTATGGAGTCTGTGGGGTGGGGTATACAGGTGTTCATGTGGTCAGGGGTGGTGAGATTTATAGACGAATTGCTCTTCAAGGGGCAGAGGCCCACAAAGCTACTCTTAATGATGTGAAAGGAATTGCAGGTGTTCTTCAGCTTTTGTAAGCCCAGTGTTTCCAAATATTTTTATGTTATGTGTAAGTTGATGCATGACACATTGAGCGGGACAGAAATTTATTTTGAGCATTAGGAAGGACAGGAAGAAGCCAAACCCCAGAATCTAAACTCTGTGCTTTTTAATTTATTTATTTTTTGTGATGGACTTTCACTCTGTTGCCCAGACTGGAGTACAGTGACACAATCTTAGCTCACTGCAACCTCCACCTCCCTGATTCAAGCGATTCTCTTGTCTCAGCCCTCTGGGTAGCTGAGACTACAGGCGCCTGCCACCACCACACCTGACTCATTTTTTGGTGGTTTTTAGTACAGATGGGGTTTTGCCATATTGATCAGGCTGGTCTCGAACTCCTGACCTCGAATGATCCATCTGCCTCGTCCTCCCAAAGTGTTGGGATTACAGGCATGAGCCACTGTGTCCGGCCTAAACTGTGCTTTTGGAAAAGATAATCATGGAACTATAGAACATGAGCACTAGAAAGGGCCTTCGGGATTCTCTAACCCTCATGATGTTTTTAGACATGAAGAAATTTGGGCCCAGAGGGAGAAAGGGACTTACTTAAACTACTTAATGTCAATGAGCTGGGACTGAAAGCAGATCACCTGACTGCCCAACTGCTGACTGTACCCTGTTACAAATAAGGACACAGTGTATATTTTTGGAAGCCATTTTAGAAGATGCCTATTTGCTATGTTAGTTTTCCCTCCTGGCTGGTCAGGCTTACCATGCAATTTCCCTACTTGTTTTTATTTTGCTAGTGTTTCAAGAACATAGTAGCAACTTTGAAGTTGTTAGTTGTTTTTGAGGCTCATGACAACTCCCAAATACGTAGGGATGTGATGTCTTCTAAGGTGCTATTACATAGAGAGTATAACTCTTTCAGGTTTAGGACATGAATTCTCCCACAGTGATTTTTTAAGTGACAGTAGATTCATAAATTAGCAGGCAGCCTGAGTAATAGAGATGTTCTAAAAAACATTTCAATTTCTTATTCCAAAGCTGCAATATACAAGTTATTAACTTTCCAATATTACCCATGTTGGAGAGTGTCTTATATATAATAGCCTCTATTTCTGATTCTCCAAAGAAATGGCTCTAAATAAATGTGTTCATGTCTTTGTATATATATATTGATTTATATATTATCTGTCTGCAGGGCGTTCCTGAAAATGAAAGGAGAACTACCAAAGCAGAGAGTGCTTGGCTTTTCCGGATGTGGTACAACTTTGATCATAAGTATCCTTAATTGAGAAAAAGAAAAGGGTAGCGTGGACATGGATAATTACAGTTTAATGGAACAACTGTTTTGACTGTTCTCTTTGGAGCGGAATATAAAACCTACCTTTCATCTTCCCTTTCCCCATCAGTGCTGTGGAAAAAGAAACCCACACAGATAGATTCCTCTGCAAACCCATGAAACCATAGGCACTGGTTACTTCAGAAGCTGGCTGTGTAAAGGGAACCAAGAGCACAGATGACATACTTTCTTTGATATATAGGTATATTTATTGAGCAAACTTTAATTTAATTTATTGTCCTTTGGCTAATTTAGTAAATCCTGCAGAAGATATTTCTTCGTTCTTGTCAGTGTAATTGGCAGGGTAAGAGAGGAAAGGCTTAGGGAAAACCAGGAGAATAAAACAAATGTGACAATGTTCGATACTGCACTGTTCAGCAATACACCTTTTTACCCCCGACCTTTCCCAAGACTGGGAGATTCTCTGTATTCAGCATGCCACAGATAGCTAATGTTTTTGTTTGCCAGATTTCCTTCTTGCTCTGTTGTAAGTCTGTTTCATAGCTGTACTTTGAGTAGCGTTGATATTCTATAACCTCTTTAAATCAGGGTTTCCCAACTCCCAGGCCACGGACCACTACTGGTGGTCCGTGGCCTGTTAGGAACCGGACCGCACAGCAGGAGGCGAGCAGTGGGTCAGTGAACATCACTGCCTGAGCTCCGTCTCCCATCAGATCGGCAGCATTAGATTCTCATAGGAGCTCAAACCCTATCGTGAACTGCACATGCAAGGGATCTGGCTTACATACTCCTTATGAGAATCTAATGCCTGATGATGTGAGGTGGAACAGTTTTATCCCAAAACTGTTTTGTTCCCAGCCCCGTCCATGGAAAAATTGTCTTCCATGAAGCCAGTTCCTGGTGCCAAAAGGGTTGGGACCACTGCTTTACATCATGCCTTTTAAATATTTTATCACTATTCAAATTAATTTCTTGTTTGAAAATTCACCCAGCAAAAAGAGCCATGGAGTTCTTTCAGGCTCTGATTTATCAATAAATAATTCATAAGTTGGTTTATGTTCTATTGAAGCAAGTTGGAGACAGCCATGTAAGAAATTTGTCCTTGCTTTCAACTTTCTGATGAAAGCCTTGTATATTTAAGAAAAATCACTTGACACTTAACAGTTAGAAGCTACTGCTTACCGTGTTCTGTTTGGTAATTTCTGCATTCACTGTTTGCAAATACTTCAGAATTAAATTACTGTATTGAAACAAGAATGCAAGCCTATCTTGGGTATTAAGACTCCCATTAGAGAGAGAGAGTGCCTGGCTCTTTAAAATTTTTTGAAGATTATGTCATTACTTTTGGCTCCATCGTCAGCCTTTTGGATATAAGCCACTTCCGTATCTCTTGGGGCTTTTTCATCCCTCTAATTTAGCAATAATTTTTCAGTGAGTTTTCTGCAAAAAATGTTTTATACATATTCTACATAATATATAAAACAGTTCAATGATCCTAAGGTTGAGAAAGAGTAGAATAATAGTTGATTTTTCTGTATGTTTTATAGAAGTAAACATCAAAGCTTGTTTGACTCAGTACTGCCCTGTTAAGTCCTACTCAATGAATACCTGATCATTATAATACCTAGTGCCCTGATATATTTAAATATTCATTATTTTAGGTTTCAATTCATTTGTGTAGGAAAATGATTTGTTATAATTGACATATAACTTGAATACAATAAAGTACACGAATCTTAAGTGTACAGCTTAATGAATTTTGACCTATGTCTATACTTGTGTGCCTACCACCCATATAAAGATTTAAATAAACATTCTCTATCCCACTCCACAAAGGGGTAACCATGATTCTGACTTCATCAACATGAGTTAGTTTTACCTGATTTTGATCTTTATGTATATGGATTTGTATATTAGGTATTCATTTCTGTCTCACTCCTTTCACTTGACATCTTCTGTGTAATTTATCCACATGTTTCATGTAACAGTATTTCATTCTTTTTTTATTGCTATAGTAGAGTAGAGTTCTGTAGTAGGAATATACTACAGGATATTTGTTTTTAACCAGTCTATTGTTAATAAATATTTGAGTGATAGCTTTTGGCTATTACAAAAACATGGATGAATATGCATCTTTTGGTGGACATAGCACTCATTTCTCTTGGGTATATACTGAAGAGTGGAATTTAAGACAAGTATATGTTTAACTTTTTTTTTTTTTCAAGTAGTGTCTGGCTCCGTTACCCAGGCTGGAATGCAGTGGTGCAATCTCAGCCTACTGCAACAACCTCTGCCTCCCAGACTCAGATGATCCTCTTACCTTAGCCTCCTGGGTAGCTGGGACTCCTGGTGCATGTAATCATGCCCAGCTAATTTTTATTTATTTTTTTAATGTAGAGACAGGGTTTCGCCATGTTGCCCAGGCTGGTCTTGAACTCCTGGACTCAAGCCATCCACCCACCGGCCTCCCAGAGTGCTGGGATTAGGAGTGAGCCACTGTGCCTGGCCCGTTTAGCTTTAATACACATTGCCAACCAGTTTTCCAGAGTGATTTTAACCAGTTTAATTGGTTTTAACCAATTTGGTGAATTTATGATTATTTCCATCAGCAAATTAAGGGAGCTCTGTTTCAGCCTTTTAAATTGTAGCCATTTTGTTAGGTGTGTAGTGATACCTATATGGTTTTATTTGCATTTCTTTAATGACCAGTGAGCCTGAGCACCTTTTCTTGTTTTTTGATATCCTCTTTTGTGAAGTGTGTCTAAGTCTTTTGTCCATTAACTGAGTTTTTTTTTTTTTTTTCTCAATGATTTATAGTTATCTCTATATTCCTGAATTGGGTTTTTTGTTGATTATTGTATTTTCTCTCAGTCTGTAGCTTGCATTTTCATTTTCTTATTCCTATATTTAAGGAGTAGAAGTTCTTCAATTTAATGAAGTCTATTTATATTTTGTTTATTTTTGAGATAATGTCTCACTCTCACCCAGGCTAGAGTACAGTAGTATAATCATAGCTCACTGTAGCCTCAACCTCCTGGGCTCAAGTGATCCTCCTGCCTCAGCCTCCTGAGTAGCTAGGACTACAGGTGCATGCCACATGCCACCACACCCAGCTAGCTCTAAAAAAATTTTTATAGCCTTGGCACGGTGGCTCATGCCTGTAATCCCAGCACTTTGGGAGGCCAAGGCGGGTGGATCACCTGCGGTCAGTTTGAGACCAGCCTAACTAACAAGGTGAAACCCCATCTCTACTAAAAATACCAAAATTAGCCAGGCATGGTGGCAGGTGCCTGTAGTTCCAGCTTCTTGGGAGGCTGAGGCGGGAGAATTGCTTGAACCCAGAAGGTGGAGGTTGCAGTGAGCCGAGATCGCGCCACTGCACTCCAGCCTGGGTGACGTGGTGAGACTCCATCTCAAAAACAATTTTTTTTATAGAGACAGGGTCTCATTTTGTTGCCCAGGTTAGAAATCCATTTTATTCACCTCTTATGGTTAGTATTTTTTGTGTCTTAAGAAATCTTCCATATCCCAAGGTCATGAAAATATTTTCCTATGTTTTCTTCTAGAAATGTGATTGTTTTGACTATCATATTTAAGTCTTTGATCCATCACAAATTCATTTTTGTGTATGGTGTGAGATAGTGGGTCAAGAGCTGCTTTTTTCCATATGCATATCCAGTTGATGCAGCACCATTTATTGAAAAAATACCATTATTACCCCACTGAGTTTGCAATACAATCTGTTGTAAATCACTTCGCTGTATAAGCAGGGATAAGTTTCTGGACTCTCTTTTTTATCCTATTTCTCTATTTTTATATCAATACCACACCCTTTTAATCACTGTGCTTTATAATAAGTCTTGCTATCCTGTAGAGTAATTAAAGCCTGGCTTTGTTCTTCTCTAGCATTGCCTTGGCTATTTTGGGTGCTTTGCATTTTCCTTTAAATTTTAGAAACAGCTTGCCAATTTATACACATGGGTGTGCGCGCGCGCGCGCGCGCACACACACACACACACACACACACACACACAAGTGCTGGCAGTTTTGTTGGGTTTATATTGAATCCATAAATGAATTTGGAGAGAAATTATATCATAACAATATTGAGATTTCCATATCATAAACACAGCATATTGCTCCATTCATTTAGGTCTTTTAAAATTTCTCTCATTAAGGATTTGTACTTTTCAGTGCACAGCTCTTATACATCTTTCATTAGATTTATCCCTAAATATTTGATGTTTTTGATCCTATTACAAATGGTATTTATTCTATTTTCTATTTGTTTCATGTAAAAAATATATATATATATAAAATGTGATTTTGTATATGGACCTTGGGTCCAGCAATCTTGCTATGTTAACTTACGAATTCTGATATCTTTTTTGTTGTTGTTTTTGTTTTTGATCTGGAGTCTTGGTCTGTCACCAGGCTAGAATACAGTGGCGCGATCTTGGCTCACTGCAACCTCTGTCTCCCAGTTTTAAGTGATTCCCATGCCTCAGCCTCCCAAGTAGCTGGGATTACAGGTGTACACCACCACACCCGGGTAATTTTTTGTATTTTAATAGAGACGGGGTTTCACCATGTTGGCCAAGATGGTCTCTATCTTCTGACCTCGTGATCTGCCCGCCTTGGCCTTCCAAAGTGCTGGGATTGCAGGTGTGAGCCACTGTGCCCAGCCGATTTCTGATAGATTCTTTCTGATCTTCTATATACATAATTAAGTGATGTATGAGTAATGATTTTTTTTTTCCTTTTCCAATTTCTTTTTTGAGTATTTTTACATTGGCTTTTGTAGGGGACTTCTCCAGTGCAATGCTGAATATAAGCGATGATACTGGACATTCTTATATTCCTGACCTCAGAGGCAAATTTTTCAATATTTCACCATTAAGTACAATAAGAGTATTCTCTCTCTCTCTTTTTTTTTTTTTTTTTTTTTTTCAGATGGAGCCTCGTTCTATCCCCAGACTGGAGTGCAGTGGTGTAATCTTGGCTCACTGCAACCTCCGTCTCCCAGGTTCAAATGATTGCTGAGAGTTTTTTTGAGTTTTTATCTGCTGAGAATTTTTAGCATCAGATGCTTTTTCTGCATCGAGATGATCATGTATTTATATTTTTCTTCTTTAATCTATTATTTTGATTTTCATTGATTGATTGTTTGAACGATAAACCAATCTTGCATTGCTGGAACAAATTCCACTTGGTCATGATGTGTTATCCTTTGTGTACATCACTGGATTTAATTTGCTAATATTTTGCATCTGATTTCTGTGTGTATTTTTATGAACAATATTGGCTTATGATTTTTTTCTTATAATGTCCTTGTCAGGTTTCAATAACAACATTAAGCTGGCCTCATAAAATGAATTGGGAAGTATTCCTTCATTTTCTGTTCTCTGAAGGAGTATTAATATTAGTGTTTGTTTTTTTTTTTTTAATGTTAAGAAAATTTTACCAGTTAAGCCATTTGAGCCTGGAGCTTTTTGTAGGAGAAACTGTTTAATTTCATTAATAAATACAGGACTATTTTTTAAACTTTTTTTCTTTTTTACCATTTGTCAATATCTGGCGAGTTTTGTTTTCTAAGGATTTTTTTTCTTGTAGAGTCAAACATCAAGACTTGTTAGCCTCAATACTACCCATTCAGTACCGTAAGATGAAGACCTGGTCATTTACTTGAAACACTAGTAGAATTCATCATCCCAGTTTTTTAGTTGCTTTGTGTTTGGCCAGTTGTTTTATAAAGCATGTTTATATAGAGTGCTTTAATCTTTACTTAGATTTTATTAATATGAGGATTCATGAAATTTTCTCTTTCTCATTTTTAATTGAAAACCACCTTAGGTTCGCATTTTAGAAAATGAGGAGGCAGGGCATGGTAGCTCATACCTGTAAACCCAACACTTTGGGAGCCTGAGTTGGGAGGATTGCTTGAGGCAGGCTCAGAGTTCAAGACCAGCCCTAGCAGCATAGCAAGACTCTGTCTCTGCAAAAATCAAATTAAAAAAAAAATTTAATTAGTTGACCATTGTGGCACGTACCTCTAGTCCCAGGTACGCTGGAAGCTGAGGTGAGAGGGTCACTTGAGTGCAGGAGTCTGAGGTTACAGTGAGCTGTGATCACCCACTGCACTCCAGCCTGGGTGACACAGCGAGACTCTGTCTCAAAAAATAAATAAATGAAGTGGGGGATTTATGTGTCTGTATCCTTTTCTCCTTTTTCTTGTGATTCCCTCTATTTTCTTCTGAGTGTCATGTATTCTCATATCTATTTTTATTTTTGGCAAATAATTTGAATACTGAAATGAGGGCCAATGATAAAGGGCCTCATGATACATAGTTTTTAAAACTGTCTTGAGGTTTGACTTGCCATTCCTTCTTATAGCTTCATAAGAAAAGAGTTCGTCTGATACTAAAGTTTCAACTTACATAAGGCAAGAGGCCAGCTGAATTCACAATCCATGATGAAAGCCATTTTATTACTATGTTCCACTGGCACGTTTAATTTCCTCTCTGGCCATTATCTTTGTTTACTTTCTCCCTTATCTCCTTTAGTGCTCAATTTACAGTGATGTTCCTTTTGGTTTTAGTAAAATCAGAAAAGCAATATGATGGAGTGGAAAGGGCACAAGATTTGAAATTCAGACCAATTTGGGCTAGGAGATCCGTCCCCATTTACCTCATTGTGTGGCTTTCAGCAGGTCATTGACCTCTCTTTCTTATCTGTGAAGTGAAGTTGATAAGCTATCCCTTTACTGTTTCACTGCCATAAAGTGAGGAGGAAATGAGACCACAGACCTGAAAGCCTTTTGCTGTCCTCCCAAGTGGTTGCTACACTGTGGTGGTGATTATTATCAAATGAGTTGCTCTTTTAAATTTGTAAAGAAAGTTGCTCAGCTCTTCCTTAACCACGCAGCTATCTGAAGCCTCTGCTGACTCACAGTGGGCCTCCGCTGACGACGACACTCCCCGCCTGCTGTGGACCCATCGCCAGGTGCCTCACCAGCCCCCAGGCTTACGAAGTAAGTTAGTTTTATCCAAAACTAAATTCTTCAGTAAGTTAAATTTATCTGCTCCGTGGATGAGTCGCTGGTTTTATTTTATTTTGCTTTGGTTTTCTGCCTTTGAGGTATAAATTCCATGAGAGGGAATTTAAGCATATTTGGCTCAACCAGAAAATACACTGAAACCTATAAATATAATTCACAGCCTTTGAAGCAGCATTTGAAAACAGATATAGAAGTGTGCCTCTTCTTACTGTGGGTGATTTTAGTAAATAGTTCTATTTCCATGCTGGCTTTCATTTCTTTGCAGTATGTGTCCTGAACTCAGTACTAAATGTGTGTGCTTTCATCCACAAATGAGGGTTGTCTCAGTTACATTGAGAGGATGTTAAAACAATTTTGACATCCCTAAAGTGCAACAGATGGTCTATTATTTCACACCTCCTAACCTTTGGATGTTTGAGAAAGCTTATCTGCCACTGTTCCACATTGCTGGGAGGCATGAGCATATCTTGATAGAATCTGGATATTTTTTCCTTAGCTATCAACATGTGATTGGTAATTTGATAAATATTGCAACTAGGAAATAAATGACAAACATGTTAGTCGGCCTTTGTTTTTAAATGTGCACATTTTTATTTTTCAAGTTCTTTTTTAAAAACCTTCTTCTGGCCAGGCCCCGTGGCTCCCGCCTGTAATCCCAGCACTTGCGGAGGCCAAGGCGGGTGGATCACCTGAGTTCAGGAGTTCAAGACCAGACCGGTCAATATGGTGAAGCCCCGTCTCTACCAAAATTACAAAAATTAGCTGGGCACAGTGGTGCATGCCTATAATCCCAGCTACCCGGGAGGCTGAGGCAGGAGGATTGCTTGAACCCAAGAGGTGAAGGTTGTGGTAAGCAGAGATCGCACCACTGTACTCCAGCCTGGGCAGCAGAGTGAGACTCTATTTCAAAAAAGAAAAGAAACCTTCCATTCTAAACCAACCTTTCAGAAATAATCTGTGACATCAAATAGGGTCCCGTTAACAAAGCCCACCAGTTTTGACTACTCAGATGCAACACGAAGAACCTTGAGAGGGGAAGCCGATACTGAAGGTGTGTAGACATGAACCGCCCACACCTCCATCCCCGTATCCCCGTTCCCTGTGAGTGAACGTCATGTGAGAGCAGACTGTAAAAGAAATGGACAGGAAACAGTAGGCAGAGTGGGGGTGGCATCTGGGCCAGGGAGGAGCATCCTCTGGCTTTGTGTTATGTCAAGTCAGTCCACGTTTCTGACAGACTGTGCCCGTGAGATGGGCAGCACACCCCATGTTTCCCCTCCTCTCCCTTCTACATTGCCCAGGCTCCCCTCTCAAACATGGTCTCCATTTCCACCATGCCCTGTGAACCCACATGACTGTGCAGAGAAGTCAGCCAGCTCTGTTGCTTCAGACAGTGAAGCTTGGCTCTTGGATTCCAGAGACCCACTCACCATCACCCAAACCCAGAAGAGGTCCACCACAACCCTGTGTCCATTGGAATGTAGCAAAACATGACAGGCTTCCTAGAGCAGCTGTAGCAAAGTATCACAAACTGAATTGCTTAAACAGTACAAACTTACCGTCTCTTAGCTCTGGAGGCGAAAATCCAAGGTCAAGTTGTGACAGGGTTGGTTCCTTCTAGGCTGAGAGGGAGAATCTGCCCCAGGCCTCTCTTCTAACTTCTGGTGGCTTCCTGGCAATGTTTTTGACCTTCCTTGACTTACAGATACATCACTGTGTATCTCTACTTTCATCTTCACATGGTGTTCTACCTGTGCGCATACCTACCTCTGTCCAGATTTCTACTACTCATAAGGACACCGGTCATGTTGGATCAGGGCCTACCTTATTTCCAGGCAAGACCCTATTTCCAAACAGGGTCACATTATCAGGTACTGGGGGTTAGGACTTCAACATCTTTTGGTCGGGGGGATACAGTTTAACCCATAACAAACATCACACTGATTTTTTGGGTTTTTTTGAGACAGAGTCTCGCGCTGTCACCCAGGCTGGAGTGCAGTGGCACAGTCTTGGCTCACTGCTGCTTCCACCTGTCAAGTTCAAGTGATTTTCATGTCTTAGGCTCCCAAGTAGCTGGGATTACAGATGCGCGCCACCACACCTAGCTCATTTTTCTGTATTTTTAGTAAAGATGGGGTTTCACCATGTTGGCAAGGCTGGTCTTTAACTCCTGGCCTCAAGTGATCTGCTCACCTTGGCCTCTCAAAGTCTGAGATTACAGGTATGAGCCACCGCGCCTGGCCCAGATGTAATTTTTTATATTATTTTGTTAACTGCTTTTTTTTTTTTTAGTTATAAAACTAGCAAGCTCATGGTTAGATATCCATACAGTATAGAACGTACAAAGTGAAAAATCAAAGTTGCCTTCCTCCTACCTGCAGTCCTCAAGTCAGTCTTTTATTATAGGCTCACTGTGGATACATCCTGATATATTTTATTGCAAATAAATATGTGTATATATAGTTTTGTTATTGTTTTACACAAATGGGATAATAATAGGCAAATTGTCCCTTTACTTGCTTTTTTTTTCAATTACTGATATATTATGGATACCTTTATATGTGAGTACATTAGCTGTCTTACATTTTCTTTTCATGGCTATATAGTATTCCATTTCATAGCTGTAGCAAAATTCATGTATTCAGTCTCTTTTGGATGGACATTTCAGTCATTTCCTTTTTTGCTATTACAAACAATACTTCTGGTGAATATCCTTTTATGTATAAACTTACCCAAATAGTAAAAGTATATGGAATAGATTTTAAAGGTAAGATCACTGAGTCAAAAGGCATATGCATTTTAAAATTTGATAGATATTACCCCAAATTGCAAACTTAATAAAGATATTAGAAGGTGCTGAAGAGCCACCGTGGGCCTGTGAAGGAGCCACAGAGCTTTGTGAATATTGCTGAATTAAGTGATAGATACTGGTTAGGTAGACTTGTTGTCCTAGCTAAATTAGACAGGAAGGGATTTGAGCTGATTGGTAGCTATGAGTTTGTTTTTGAGATGGGTTCTGGCTGTGTTGCCCAGGCTGGCCTCAAACTTCTGGGCCCAAGCAGTCCTCCCGCCTTAGCCTCCCCTGTAGCTAGGACAATAGGCATGTGCCACCCGTACTCAGCTGTTTGTTTTTGAGTTCGCACTTATTTTGGTCTTTGAGTATTTATGGAAATTCTAGCAACAGCAGATTAAATTTCTTTTTAGATTTTGTCTAATAGTCTTGTCAGTCTGTTTGATGCTCTTAGACAAATTCAAAATTTTCAAACAAACATGGGATTTAGAAAGCTGGAGAATGTACTTCCCTCAAGGAGTATTAATGACAGACTATTTTTTGCTGGATCAATGTGAATATTAGGAATGATCTTTTCTCTTTACGCTAGAAGAAATAACTTTCTTCTGATTTTTAAAAGGAATATGTACTCATTATAATAAAATTTCAGATAATACAGAAACATAAAGAAGACTTTCTACACAAACATTTTTTATTTGCCACAATGAGACTATGTATTCCTGATGATTTCCCTTTTGTAGAACCTTATTTACGTATACTATTTTGGCCCTAATATTTCCATGAGAACCAAAGCTTATGGAGCTGGGAGACACACATGCAGTGAGGGCTTGATGTGTTTCTCTGTGCCTCAAACCATATTAGGTGGTTGGGCTACATAGCATTTAGCCTGTGTCTTCACCACATGTATATATCTGTCAGCTCCCCCCACACACTAGACTCCAAGCCTCTTGAGGGCAGATCGATACACACGCAGTTATAGCTCAAGGGTAAGTGCCACTACAGGGAGAGGGCCAGGTACGGGATGCCACGAAAGCACACAGGAAGAACACCTAACCTAGTCCTAGAAGCTCAAGGAAGACTTTAGGGCAAAAGTGATAAATGGTGTTAGTCACGTGAAGGGGAGGAGGGGTCATGTAGAAGGGGCTGGAGGTAAGAGATGCTGGAGGAGTCTGGGCAGCTGTCAGCACTTCAGTCTGGTTGGCAGACAGTGGGACCAGTCTGGTTGGCAGACAATAGGACTGTTGGTGTGGGAGAGGCAGATTGTGGCAGGAGAGGAACTAAAGGGGCCAAGTTACACTGTATTTCAAGCCAAGATATGGACTTTAGACTTTATCCTGAGGCCAGTGGGCTCCCACTGAAAGGTTTTAAATGGGGAATCCTCCAGAATTCTCCTATTGGAAATGTCTCTTGAACTCCTCCACAATTCTGAAATCTTACTTTTATCTGTTTGCATTTAGAACCAGGAACAGTTGAAAGATGATGATTCTGATCTTATTCTCAATGATGGCGATATCAGTTTGACGTATGGAGATTCTACTGTGAACACTGAATCGGCCACATCCAGCGCCCCAAGGAGATTTATGGGAAACAGTTCAGAAGATGCCTTGGATCGGGAGCTTGCATTTGGAGACCATGAACTGGTTATTCGAGGAACACGCCTGGTTCTTCCAATGGATGATTCCGAACCCCCACTAAATTTGTTAGATAATACGAGACACGGTCCAGCCTAAGCTTACTAATACTCACTTAGTGATTTGTAAAATTTGCACATGTGATTGTGAAGAAATTTGTACTACCTAAAAGTCCCAGTGCATGTCTCTGAATGTGTAAGCTATATAAATGCTATTTATATGGCGTAGAAAGAATATAAATATCCTGTACATGGCAGATTGTGAACAAACTATTCCTTTTAAGTTTTTCTGGCTGCACTCTGTAGACTGGATCTGTTTTAGAAAGTTATTTTCACAGTGATGTTGTATGTTCTGTTAGTTTTATGTCTCAGTTAAAGTATAAAAAGTGACGGATTTTCTCTTTCTTACACTTACCTGACACTTAACCGGAGTACCAAGTTCTTGTGATGTGAATTAATTTTTGTGTGTGTGCTAGGGGAGGGAGAGTGAGGAGGGAGTGTCATTTCCTTGGGAGCCCAGGGAGGAGAGGTTCCTTTGTTGGGAAACTTGTTGATAGCTGCTGCCTTTGTCCTGACTGTTTTCTTTCCCTTTTTTCTGATGGCCTGTTGTGGTGCAAGGAGCTGATGGCGTTTTGATCTTGCCCCATTCAGGTGGGGGAGTGAAGTGTGGGGACATTTTCCCCCGCTTGCTGTGAAAGCACAGATTCATTGACTGCAGTACACTGTTGTTCAGTAAAGAAGGCTGCAAATGACTTCTGAGACCCTACGTCTTTTCTTCCAGACCCAGACCATAGAAGGAGTCGCATCCAGCCGGCTTAGCCAAAGTACAGGTGTATATAGTTCAGGGCACTTGACTTCGATTTGGAGAGGTTGGGGTGGGCAGAGGGCAAGAGGGGAGTAAAGAGAATGGTGGTTTTAGAAATCTCTCTTCCCAAATGTGTAAATATTCTATACCAGATAAGTTTAAATGAGAAATTTAATTGCTGCTTAATTTTTGATTATGTACTTTATCTGTATAGCAAGCTTTGTTGTCAGAAGTTTTTATATCGATTTAAATTGCTGCTCTTTAGCAGCCTAACAGGAGCAAAATGTAAAATTTTTGAACTTGCTGTGTCTAAGTATCATGTTAGTCTGTAGTTAATGTCAACAGTTAATTTATGAGCCCATGATCGTTCCACACTACACCGAAGTCAGTCATAAGAGAAGTCGCATGTTCTGAAGTGTCGATTGCAGCAAGGTGGCTCCTTTGTGTGTGGCAGGTGTAGTAGTCTTCATTTTCATGGTACTTTTTAATATTAATGACCTAAGCTGCCATGCTTTTTTTTTTTTAACAGTTTTCAAGGAAGAGCACAGAACCATTTCTTATTTCATATTTGGAGTATGAAAGCAGATTCTATTTTGTAATGCTTACAATACTTAAAGGTGCATTGAACGCTTGGAACGAGAATACTTTTTTGATTTTTGATTTTGACCTGTTCATGATTCAGAAGAAAAATAGAAACTTTTTGGGATTTTTTTTTCCCCCTCAGGTCTGAGTAGCATTGCCTTAAATCTTACTCAATTAGAAAACTGGTTTATTTACATGATGTTCAGATTTTCTGATGGAAAATACCCTTCCAAACAAAACGTGTACTTACTCTCCAGAATGTATCTGTGCTATCGCAAATAATCCTTGAGATTTTAAGGGAATTCTAATGTTGTACCCTTCCGTGGCAGCTTCGACTGTTGGCATAGCCATTTGTTATGTAGTGGTAGTGACTTTCCTGCTATGCAGGAATCCCTCCCATGAAGCGTGTGTTTTATATAATGTGTGCCTCTTCACGCAGTAAATGGTTTCTTGTTAATGTATGTTTGAGGGATTTGAACGTCAGTGTCATTTACCCACAAAGTTATTCAAGTTGTAAAAGGTTATACAATAATTTAACAACTACCTTTTTTATTCTGTCAGGTTACTGACCTCACTTTATGTAAATACTTCGCATGACAAATTCAGTAACTCGTCTGTTTCAGCATGCGTAAGACTTTTCATTAGGGAAACTGATAAAGCTTGAGTCAACTAAATCTGCCTTCATACTTTATCAAGGGGAACCAAGCCTGCTGTGCTTACATCAGCATCTGGAAGATTCTCCTCTCCTCTAATCTGTGTACACATCTCCAAGCAAGGAAGAAAAAACAAACTCCACTCAGACGCCGGTGAAACACCTGAATGAACTTTGATGAAGTACAGTCTGAGTTACCATCGTGCACAAGTAGAACTGCTCTTGGACTTGTTTTCTTGTTGTTTGTGGAACCTACATGTTTGAATGACTTGAACGTTGCATCTTTTGAAGTTATTTTTTAAGGTTTCTTGGCATTTATCCTAGTTGTCTGTGTTTGGCAATGTGCTGTTAAAGTAATAGACTTTTAATCTTTATGTATTTTTTGTTTTCTCTGGAGTACTTGGACAGATGTTATAGTGGTTTCTTTTAGGAAAATCTGTCATTAAAAAAATTACAGCCTTGCAAATAACCACTCACCGTATTTGAGTCACAGTTTATTCTAGTGAGACGTAAAGAGTGCTGACTTCATTTACTTTTCTACCTATATACCTACTGGAAAAGGGGAAGACTGATGTTTTCAAATAAACAAACAGAAACCTAACAGAACTTAACTTATGGGGTGGCAAATTTTTGGTGCTTGTGTGTAAGGGTGGATGTATTTGCTTATGGTCACAATTGGACTTTTTAGGAAATATGACTCAAAGCAGTCAAATTATGTTACATTGATTTGTAGCCTGTTAGCTCAGTAATGGATAAGGTCATAAAAATGCTGGTATGGGGAGAGAGGAGAGTAAATTCTATATCCAGTTAGGTAGGAAGGCAGTTCCAAGTTTGGCCGAAAGCATGATCATGCAAATACAAATAGTCCTCCCAAGTTAAAGACATTTCTTTCTTCTGTGCATGAGAAGTGTTTTTTTGTTTTGTTTTCTTGTTTTCTTATTGAGACAGAGTCTTGCTCTGTTGCCCAGGCTGGAGTCCAGTGGTGTAATCTCAGCTCACTGCAACCTCTGCCTGCCAGGTTCAAGCGATTCTCCTGCTTCAAGCGATTCTCCTGCCTCAGCCTCTTAAGTAGCTGGGACTACAGGCCCGTGCCACCACACCTGGCTAATTTTTATATTTTTAGTAGAGTTGGGGTTTCAACATATTGGTCAGGTTGGTCTTGAACTCCTGACCTCATGATCTGCCTGCCTTGGCCTCCCAAAGTGCTGGGTTTACAGGCATAAGCCACAGCACCCAGCCACATGAGAAGTTTTATAGGCCAGAGTTTGCTGACTGCAACTCTGTCTGGCAATGGCACCATCCACACTGTTGTGTGTTGCTGTCATCCACTCCAGCTTCCTTGTTAATTATGGCCCAGTGAGAGACATTGGTGGGTGATGGTCCACATATAACAGGCTCTTTTCTTGAAAGAACCCATGTTTTCTAATTCACCACACAAAACCCTATATTAGATCTGAGCAGATACATTTGTTAAGCTGACCCAGTGCAGTATAATGAGATTAGAATCACCAACAGGACGTATGCCACACAGATGATGTAGTGTGAGCCTTGAAAATAAATTGGAAATGATAACAATAGTAGTTCTGAGCCCTTCTTAGGTACTGGTCACATATATACTAGGCATTTTAAAATCTATAATTCAATCATGCTGTTGAGGGCATGTTCTATCATCCTCAGTACACAGATGAGGAGACTGAGGTGCAGAGAAGTCACACAGCAAGTAAGTGGCAGAGCCAGGACTCCAGTCAAGTCTGACTCCAAAGCCCAGATGCTTACTACTATGCTGGTGCCAAAGGCAGGCTCTGCTGATTCATCCTGAGCATAACTAGAAGGATGGAGGGAATTGCAGATTTCTAGCCTGCTGCCCCCGAACTGCTTGCCATCAGGCCAGGCTAGGGCATGAAGTCTCAACTGTCCCTCCATTTGCTGCCATGCTCTTGGCTGTCGGGCATATGTTCCCCTGGTTGGAAGGGTCCTCCCATTCATAGCAAAGGGCCCTCCAGTCTCTTGTTGGGCCCGTGGGTGAACAGTCTGCCTAGCAGCATTTCTTCATGCTCTACCCCCCAACATTATCACCAAGGGGCCCGAATTTTATAGCACAGTTTGTGGTCCTGAACAATGGCTTTGCATCCCCACAGTCAGGCATAGTAGAAAAAGCCCAGGCTCCGGAATGACATAGACCTGGGTTCAAACCCAGGTTCTACTGCTTGGTTATTGTGTAATGTTGGCCAGCTACTTCAGTGAGCCTATTAGTGTTCTCAGCTGTAAAAATTCACTCAGACAAGAAATATCTGAGTACTTACTTTGTGCCACAAACAGTAGAGATAGCAGCAAATAACTAAACAGTCCCAGCTCTCATGGAGAATATTCTACAGGAGATGTAGCTATCTCACAAGGTTCTGAGGAATCATTTATGCAGGAAACAGTATTACTTTCTTGCCTTCTAGTAGGGAGATAATTTTTTTTTTTTTTTTTTTTTTTTTTTGAGAAGGAGTTTCGCTCTTGTTGCCCAGGCTGGAGTGCAATGGTGTGTTCTCGGCTCATTGCAACCTCTGTCTCCTAGGTTCAAGCAATTCTCCTGCCTCAGCGTCCCAAGTTGCTGGGATTACAGGCGCCCGCCACCACACCCAGCCAATGTTTGTATTTTCAGTAGAGACGGGGTTTCACTAAGTTGGCTAGATTGGTCTCAAACTCCTGACCTCGGGTGATCCACCCATCTCAGCCTCCCAAAGTGCTGGGATTACAGGCGTGAGCCACCATGCCCAGTCTATATCTATCTTAAGTAATCAACAAATAAAAGAATCTTAAGTCCTAGCTGGATGTAATATTGTGCACCTATAGTCCCAGATGCTCAGGAAGCTGAGGAAGGAGGATTGCTTGAGCCTAAGAGGCCAAAGCCATAGTGAGCATGATCGCGCGACTGCACTCTAGCCTGGGCCACAGATCGAGAGTGTGCCTCAAAAAAACAAAACTGCAGGACACTATGAGAGGGTGCTGTAATCTGGTGGGAAGGGGACAGGAAGATTATCCTGATAAAGTGACATTTAGATCTCGAGTAAGTCAAGGGTCAGCCATGTGAAGCAGGGTGAAGACAAGGATCATTCTAGGCAGAGCGAACACTGATATTCCACATGACCTTTATTCAGTCGAAACGTTATTAAGTGACAAACACACCACGTGTGGTGTGCTATCCTGTTTACGTACAGTGAGGAATACCATAGATACAGGCTACCCTTTTTGGCACTCACGGGTTAATGGGGAAAACAGTAAGTATCCAACAATTAGATAAGCATAGCAAGGAGCATCTTGAACCAAAATGTTCTCCCACAGCATCCTCTCCCTCGTCCCTGTCCCACTGGATCTCTTTGTGTTGCCGACTTCATACATTTTTTTTTTTTTTTTGAGACAGAGTTTTCACTCTTTTTACCCAGGCTGAAGTGCAATGGTGTGTTCTCAGCTCACCGAAACCACCGCCTCATCTCCCAGGTTCAAGTGATTCTCCTGCCTCAGCCTCCCAAGTAGCTGGGATTACAGGTATGTGCCACCACACCCAGCTAATTTTTTATATTTTTAGTAGAGACCGGGTTTCTCCATGTTGCTCAGAATGGTCTCGAACTCCCTACCTCAGGTGATCCGCCCGTCTTGGCCTCCCAAAGTGTTGGGATTACAGGCGTGAGCCACTGCGCCCGGCTGCCTTCAGACATTTGAAAGGAGCCGGTAAGTCTTCCCTCAGTCTTTCTGTCCCCAAGTTAAATAACTCCATTCCCTTTCTATCTTCAGGACATCTGCCAGAAGTCCATTATTCTTATTTTCTTTCTTTATTTTTTTGAGATGGAGTCTCGCCCTATCACCCAGGCTGGAATGCAAATGTGCAATTTTGGCTCACTGCAACCTCTGCCTCCCAGGTTCAAGCAATTCTCCTGCCTCAGCCTTCTGAACAGCTGGGACTACAGACACCCGCCACCATGCCTGGCTAATTTTTGTATTTTTAGTAGAGACGGGGTTTCACCATATTGGCCAGACTGGTCTCGAAGTCCTGATCTTGTGATCCGCCCGCCTCAGCCTCCCAAAGTGCTGGAATTGCAGGCGTGAGCCACCGCGCCCAGCCACAGCCGGCCCCATTGTTCTTTTATGAACATGCCCAAACACACACTGGCTTTGTTTCAGCGGCCGCCTCACGTGCTCATCCTAAGAGTGGGCGGACTATCCACAGAAAGTCTGGGCCAGTAACGCCCTGCCGTCATACAGCTTACATTCCAGTTGAGAAAGGCAGACCGTAAATCAACACGCACACAAATTCATTCAAGGTTGGGATAAGTGACAAATAGGAAATGAGATTGAGGGCGATGGGTGTGTGGAGGTGGGATGGGTATGGGAGGAGCAGTCAGGAGACCTTGCTTAAGGGGTAACATTAAAACCAAGACCTGAAAGAGCCAGCCAGGCAGAGAACAGTGGAGGAGTGGTGGAAAGGTCTGCTTTAGGGCAGATGCTCAACACATGTTTGTTGAGGAGTGAAATGCTCTCCTAACCTTTATGGAGTTGGATTTTGAAGTCCAGGGTGGTAGAATAATAGAAATAGCAGGGTGACAGTCAGGAGGCCAGAGTCCCAGCCCCGCCTGCCACTAGGCACTTTGAGGAAGCCACTTCAACCTGCCTGAGCCTGTTTCTTCCTTTATAAAATGATGGCAGTTTGCTGAGCTCTTACCATGTGCCAAGCACTGTGGTGGGTACTGGATACTGGTTCCAGCACCAAGTCACTGCCAGGCCTGTTGCAGGGGATCGGATAAAGGGATGTACATTGAAACATTTTGACTGGGATTCAGAGGAGTCTCGAAACCGAGGTTGAGTATTCGGAAAGGTTTTGCTGATGAAACACTATTGGAATAAAATATGGAAAAGTCTTTGCGGACCATGCAGCTACTTTGGGCTGCTTTCCTTTGGAATCTCCAGTTTAGCACTTTGGAGGTGCCCCAAGTGGTTGCTGTGGTAAAGACTGAACTCTGAGAACTGGATTAGTTGGGATTGTCATGGGTGGAGCCTGAACTCCATTAAACCTGACAATTTCTGACCAATTCTACCCAGTGAAAGAACCCTTTCTTTTTTTTTTTTTTTTTTTTTTTTTTGAGACGGAGTCTCGCTGTTGTCACCTGGGCTGGAGTGCAATGGCATCATCTCAGCTCACTGTAACCTCTGCCTCCTGGGTTCCAGCAATTATCCTACCTCAGCCTCCCGAGTAGCTGAGATTACAAGGCGCCCACCACCACGCCCAGCTAATTTTTGTATTTTTAGTAGAGACAGAGTTTCACCATGTTGGCCAGGCTGGTCTCAACCTCCTGACCTCAGGTGATCCGCCCACCTCAGCCTCCCAAAGTGCTGGGATTACAGGCCTGAGCCACCGCACCCAGCCAAGATCCCTTTCCTTTACCATGGACCTGTACTGCAATTGCAGCTTGAGGAGAGGACTCCTGTCCTAATGGACACCAGGTCGACTCATTTTCCACTTGCTGCTGCCTGATGGGCACTGGGTCCCGCTAAAGAAACACAGCTTAGTTGTGCAAGTCATTTCTTTCTCAGTGATGGAAAAATGTATTGAAAGCTCTGTCAGC